AAAAAATATTTTGCAACACTATTTTCTGAAAATTAAAAATTCATCTCTTTTGCAAGTGGCAACTATGGGTTAAATAGCAGGGTAGATTTGGCTCCCTAGCCTTGAATAATTCAAAATGAATTCACTATCAAGAAGTCCATTTATAGATAATAAAGAAAGGAAACTTTGGCTATGATTGCCAACATCCTGAAGTGTGTGTGTGTGTGTGTGTGTATATATATATATATATATATATATATATATATATATATATATATAAAATAGTTTATGTAAACTTAGGTAATCCGTATGGGTAGACCTGAGGAGGATGATATCCAGAGAGCTCAATGTGAAATTCAGAGCAGATATGTTTGAATAAAAGACAGACCACGTTAAGATTCCATGTATTGTTATTTCACCATAACCCCTTTAACAGGGTTCTGATCATCAGACTTTTACTTCCAAAAAAAGTATACGTAAAGTTAACGAAGTGAGGGAAGTGAGGGGGAGAGAGGATATGAGTGTGTCATATGTATCATTTTAGTTTCCTATTTTAACCCCAGTGTGTCGGCTAGATGTTGCTCAAATTTAATGCGTCTCGTCTCTAGATATAGATGGCTAAGGGGTGACTGATAAGAACGACATTAAAGGAAGAATTTACAACAACCCCAATAAATTACACGACAGGTTTCATTCAAATTCTTAGACGCTGTCAGTTCGTGTTACTTTAATGTGCATATTTGGGAGGTTAAGGTTTGATAAATATCTAAATGTTAAAACAATCTACGAAGAAATTAATTTGAAATTCGGTGGAGTTTTGGATATTTTCTATGAAACAATCGATTGGAAAAAATATATATATATATATATATATATATATATATATATATATATATAAAAACACACGTTCCTGTGAATTTTTTAAATTCACCAACAACACTTCAATTTCATTAGAGTATTTTCCCCATTTATAAAAAACTGTTATAACAGCCATGTGAAATTGTTGCAATCCTTGATATTTAGGAAATCCCTTCTCACTGAGGAGCCAAAATCAGGTTGACAGAGTGAAAAGGCAGATAAAGAGTAATTGCTGAGCCCTCATATTTTGTGGCAATGAGTAAAAGGGTTGATATCATTCTAATCTACTCTGAAAAACTATGTGCGTGTGGGTAAAGATCAAAAGTTCTTTGTTAACAACAATTTTTCTGGTGAACATTTTAACATAAATTGCCGAATATCCAAGTACTTTTGAAGGATTGATAGAAGATAACTTTTCTAAAATGGCTATTGGATATGCAGGTGAAATTCTGATGTGAGGGGAAAATCTGAAATGGGTGGGGCTACTAAGCCAATATCAAACACTACAGACAGGTTAAGAGAGATAGAATACTCAAAAGAAAAAACAAAAGCTTGTACGAAGAGGTGTTATTTGAAAAAAAAAGAAATACCACACGTAAAACAACAAAAAAAAAAAAAAATATTTAAAACCAGAAAATGGAGCAAAATATACAGAAAACAGAAAAAGCCTAAGACTTTGAGAAGGGATTAGGGTGGAATAATATCTCCTGCTGGTAATTGCTACAGATATATACAAAGTTTACAATTTTATTTCTAAGTTCCTCTTTTAGTCCCACATTCCAAACACTGCTTAGATCTTCTAATTTACAAGGAAGGAAGGAAAAGAAAGGAAGAAAATACTTGAGCTTAAATAGTTAAATAAACAAGCAACATGAAAATGGGTTAGGAGTTAAATTTTTAGTTTACAACATAATATGAACAGGTTTAACATATTTGAAAGGAATAAGAGGGAGGGGAGGGGAGAGAAGAGGGAGAGAAGAGAAGAGGGAGAGAAGAGAAGAGGGAGAGAAGAGAAGGGAGAGAAGAGAAGAGGGAGAGAAGAGAAGAGGGAGAAAGAGAAGAGGGAGAGAAGAGAAGAGGAGAGAAGAGAAGAGGGAGAGAAGAGAAGAGGGAGAAGAGAGAAGAGGGAGAGAGAGAAGAGGGAGAGAAGAGAAGAGGGAGAGAAGAGAAGAGGGAAGAAGAAGAGGGAGAAAGAGAAGAGGGAGAGAAGAGAAGAGGGAGAGAAGAGAAGAGGGAGAGAAGAGAAGAGGAGAAGAGAGAAGAGGGAGAGAAGAGAAGAGGGAGAGAAGAGAAGAGGGAGAGAAGAGAAGAGGGAGAGAAGAGAAGAGGGAGAGAAGAGAAGAGGGAGAGAAGAGAAGAGGGAGAGAAGAGAAGAGGGAGAGAAGAGAAGAGGGAGAGAAGAGAAGAGGGAGAGAAGAGAAGAGGGAGACAGGCACACAGAGTAGCAAAAAAGAGAGAGAGAGAGAGGCAAAATATACATAGAGAAAGAGAGGGGGGGGCAGAGATTTTTTATTATGATTATATATTGTGGGGGGAAGGGAGAGAGGCCAGGTCAATTCATTGCAGCCAGATGAAGAGAAGAGTAAATCAGAGGTGAGTTGGAGGGAGAGTTGACGAGTTAGAAAGGACAAATGGGCCAAGCTAAATGAGAAGACCAGGTGACAGAAGAGGGAGCAAAAGTTGTTTTGCCTTTGAAAGCAGATACGCATTTCATTTGGGGATGTTTGTTGAACTAAGGAAACTACAAACAACACACACGGTGAAAGCGGGTAAAAAAGAAAAAGAAGAGAAATTCCTTCACAGCCTTCAAAAACTATCCTTTACATGTGGGTGTGCAAGAATAAATGTGACTGGAAAAAATACACCCACCCACTCTCATAAAACAAGATGTGTATACACAGTAGGATAATGATGTGCAAGCGCTCATATGCAACAACATTCAAATATATCTAAATTCTCGCCCTGTGTCAGCCTTAATCTATATTAATAACAACCTTACACCCATTATAGTTGTTGCGCCGGGGGGGGCATTCAGTTTGTCAGAGAAAGAGTAAAGACATGTATGATTTCTGTATTTAAGGAAAAGAGAGAGAGACAGACGGAGGGAAGGGAAGAGAAGAGAAGAGAGAGAGACAGATGAAGAGAAGAGAAGAGAGAGAGACGGACGGAGAGAAGAGAAGAGAGAGAGACGGACGGAGGGAAGAGAAGAGAGAGAGACGGACGGAGGGAAGAGAAGAGAGACAGACGGAGGGAGGAAAAGAGAGGAGAGACAGAAGAGAGAGAGAGAGAGACAGACGGAGGGGAGGAAAAGAGAGAGAGACAGACGGAGGGAGGAAAAGAGAGAGAGAGACAGACGGAGGGAGGAAAAGAGAGAGAGAGACAGAGGAAAAGAGAGAGAGACAGACGGAGGGAGAAAAGAGAGAGAGAGACAGACGGGAGGGAGGAAAAGAGAGAGAGAGACAGACGGAGGGAGGAAAGAGAGAGAGAGACAGACGGAGGGAGGAAAGAGAGAGAGAGACAGACGGAGGGGAGGAAAAGAGAGAGAGACGGACGGAGGGAGGAAAAGGAGAGAGAGAGAGAGACGGAGGGAGGAAAAGAGAGAGAGAGACAGACGGAGGGAGGAAAAGAGAGAGAGAGAGAGAAAGACGGAGGGAGGAAAAGAGAGAGAGAGACAGACGGAGGGAGGAAAAGAGAGAGAGAGACAGACGGAGGGAGGAAAAGAGAGAGAGAGACAGACGGAGGGAGGAAAAGAGAGAGAGACAGACGGAGGGAGGAAAGAGAGAGAGAGACAGACGGGAGGAAAAGAGAGAGAGAACGGAGGAGGAAAGAGAGAGAGAGACAGACGGAGGGAGGAAAAGAGAGAGAGAGACAGACGGAGGGAGGAAAAGAGAGAGAGAGACAGACGGAGGGAGGAAAAGAGAGAGAGAGACAGACGGAGGGAGGAAAAGAGAGAGAGAGACAGACGGAGGGAGGAAAAGAGAGAGAGACAGACGGAGGGAGGAAAGAGAGAGAGACAGACGGAGGGAGGAAAAGAGAGAGAGAGACAGACGGAGGGAGGAAAGAGAGAGAGAGACAGACGGAGGGAGGAAAAGAGAGAGAGAGACAGAGGGGGGAAGAGAGGGAGGAAAAAGAGAGAGAGAGACAGACGGAGGGAGGAAAAGAGAGAGAGAGACGGAGGGAGGGAGGAAAGAGAGAGAGACAGACGGAGGGAGGAAAAGAGAGAGAGAGAGACGGAGGGAGGGAAAAGAGAGAGAGAGAGAGAGGAGGAAAAAAGAGAGAGACAGACGGAGGGAGGAAAAGAGAGAGAGAGAGACAGACGGAGGGGAGGAAAGAGAGAGAGAGAGACAGACGGAGGGAGAGGAGGAAAGAGAGAGAGAGACAGACGGAGGGAGGAAAAGAGAGAGAGAGAGACAGACGGAGGGAGGAAAAGAGAGAGAGAGAGACGGAGAGGGAGGAAAGAGAGAGAGAGACAGACGGAGGGGAGGAAAAGAGAGAGAGAGAGACAGAGGGGGAGGAAAAGAGAGAGAGAGAGACAGACGGAGGGAGGAAAGAGAGAGAGACAGACGGAGGGAGGAAAAGAGAGAGAGACAGACGGAGGGAGGAAAAGAGAGAGAGACAGACGGAGGGAGGAAAAGAGAGAGACAGAGACGGAGGGAGGAAAAGAGAGACAGACGGAGGGAGGAAAAGAGAGAGACAGACGGAGGGGAGGAAAAGAGAGAGACAGACGGAGGGAGGAAAAGAGAGAAATTGAAAACTTGGTGTTGGTAACAAGGATGTACTACTGGCCTTGCTTTCCATAACAGCAGATTCCTGAGGTCAAGCTTTGGTTACTGGTTGCAACGCAAAACCATGCAGGCACCAGTATTGGGACCCTGGTGCTATAAAATCTTCCCATCTCCAAGCAGATAGCAATGCACAAGAGGTCAGAATTATACAGATTGATTACATGGTATAATTGAATCGGATTGTAATACACAAGAGATACTTTTTATTCATGCATATTAGAATCCCGATTTATTTATGCATATATGTTTTATTCTGTTACTAACAAATATAGTCTACTTATATGAAGCTGTACTCTGTATCATGGATATTTTTGTTACATCGAATCCTTGGTAAATTTTTAGTGGAAATAAGCTTATGTACAGATTATATATAAGTGT